ATAGTTGTAAATAGTCATTGATCGATAGAATACAACTGCAACAGGCTAATCATTTCATTGGCAGAAAACATTAACATTTTGTGAAGGCCGTCGTCACTTGTGGTGCATGGTCTGCACCCGACACTTTCTCGCTTTTTGAAGGGGAGGGTACATTAACTTTTGAAAAAGGAAAAATTATCATTACAGATAGAATAGGTACTACAAAATCGCAATGAGCAAGTCGCTTTATTATTTGACTTTTTTTCAGAAAGGACCGTGAATATCCGAAGGATCGTATTGAAAGATCAGAAACGGGTACGTCTTCCATTAAGGTTAACAGAAGAGAAATTCAGATTTTCATCTTTCAGGCTTTGAACTCGCTCACTCTGCATTTAGTCCTCTTCTTTTGGTCATGGTGTATAACGGTTTTTGGAATTGAACTCTGCGGCGACTTCCTCCACAATTGGTTGCCCAATGCTAAACTCGTCGAGACGCTCCAGAGCTACATGGTCAGTCTGACCATTAGAATAGCGTTATGGTCAAAGGTTTCATAAGGATCTTGGGTTTTGAACAAAACTTTCGCCCCAGACGGGACTCCCCGCACTTCTTGCTTAACGGGCAAGTGGCTATCAGTTACGCACTTATTAACTAGTAGCGCACTTGTCCGGTAAACAAAAGGTGTGGGTTCGAGTCCCGTCTGGGACGAGAGATTTGTTTTTAACCCAGCATTCTTGTGAAACATTGACAAAAAATTGTCGTTTAGGTCTTCTTCGGCCTCCTGTGCTATTCCCAGTCCTACTACCTTCTGATGTGGAAGTCACCAGAGCATTCGATCGCGTTCAAGGTAGTGTTTTCAGACTGGTGAAAAAAAACTGATACCATATCCGTCTCGGACAATGGGAAGGCAGTTGAATAGTGGAACCAGAATGTGGGCATACGTTGTGCTGCTGGTGCTTAGAGTAGGCGATAACCGAAGGTGAACAGCTGGTTATGGACATTCCGGAAATGAGATGCCGTTGCCCATTCTCAGTGACCGTAGTCCAACTCATAACCCCGCCTGGAACACCGAGATGGAGTGCAGTATTCGAATTCTAACTTTTCAACACAACACCTTTTACCTGGGAGTAAAAGAGCTTCTTCTCGTCATTATCTATTTACTCAAGATTGACCAAAGGGTGAACCGGAATGCAGAACATAGGATGCGTTGTCAGCCCCGTTCTGATGTGCGCCGTGCATTTCACTTTCATTCGGAGCCGTAGTGGCGTATGAATCCCCTTCCGCCCATAATGACTATGAGCAGGGTCAACCCTCCGTTCTAACAAGATCCACGAGATTGGGGGTTTTTGGAGGGAGTCGATTGGTGGAATTTAGAGGTCGTGTTACAGTGGAAGGAGAAAGGGGAGTCGTCTCGACGCGCTTGTTGACGACTTTGGTAAATCTTGAAGGAATCATGAAAACTGGAACATTCAGCGTTTCTGTAGCCATATTCGTACCCACCCCTCCCAACTCGACGGCCGTTCTGAAGGTCAGAAGTGGGCAGAGTTGCGCTGAAATTCTTGACTGTTGGTCACAGAATCAATCCAATAACAGCCATAGCAGCGGGGGACGGGTCGTGTGTGGTTGAAAGGGTCTTCTCAAGGCTGATGGTAGTAGTGGGTCCTATCAAGCCGCAGCCGATGTGCAAGTTAATGTTTGTTCCCCATAGATACGGGTGATAGACTTGCACTCATTGTGGCTGGTAAAAGTCCACTTCGGGGGGGGGGGGCAGGAGGGGGACACTCCATTGTTTTCCAATACTCAAGATAAGGATTGAGAGGGCTCACGACACGTAATCGACTCATTTAAAGTAGACTTCTGATAAGTATCGGTGTAATGGGTGAGAAACCCTGAGATGTTTTCACATTTCCGCCTGCCAAGGGAAACGGTCCTGGACCAGGAGAAAGGACACCTCCGCAAAGGGCTAAGGGTGCAGGAGCTCCAGGGTGGATCACCTGTGCAGAAAAGTGGATGGGATGTGGGCAGGATGTGGAATCCACCGGTCCTTATCAAAAGTACGCTCGAAATGAGTCGTTCACTTATTATCTTATCCGTAGTGTTCGATAGCCCAAAGAACTGCTCTCTAGTACTACGGATAAGATAGCAAGTCCCCCCCCCCAAACTGAAGCCTTATCATTGTGGTTTAAGCTCATTGAGGTTTTGATCGCGTAATTGAATGTCGTTGGTGGACCAGGTTCCGGCGGTGTGGCTGACATCACCTCTCAACGCCCTTGCTCCAATCACCCTCGTGACGTCACCAAAATCGCTTCTTCACCTATTGGGTCCTCTGCCTTTGAGCTATTGGCACGCATAAAAAAGGGATAAACGCTTGCGTCTGGGTTACAGTCGTGCATATTTCAAGGTACTGCTCGTTTCTAACCCTGAATTCAAGAGAAAGCATTGTGAAGTCATAACAAGAAGTGCTGTAACTCTGTTCTCTTCAGGAACAACTACGGATACTTTTGTGCTGCTCTCCATTGGATTCTCCACCCAAAGTGAGGACCACGCTTTCGGACGGCAATCAGTTACCAATTCATAGCCTGCTAAAAGTGAAACCGAAGTTCAGCTCAGTGCCTCTCCAGCGTGGTCACAAACGTTGCGTCGCAATACGTTCTCTTTGACGGATAAGGAAAAATTTGATTCAGTTCTTTGGCAGGTTACTGTTGCAATAGTTTGGCAATTATCACTTACCTCATGTGACCTCAAATTCGATTCTCTAATTCTTCTCTCCTTTCTAGTCCACTAAAGTATGTATGGGTGAGTATGGGTGAATAGGTCTGAAGCCTTGGCGAGCAGATACGTGAATGTTCCACTGAGAACAATGTCATGATTGACCCCGACTTCTCATTTTCTTCTAGTTCTTTATAGGTTAAAGGCAGTGATTACGATAGATTCAAGAAGGGTTTATAGGAGACTGGTGGTGCTCAGTGGTACGCCAGTGGCGAAAAAAGGAGAAATCCGTCAAGAAAACGCAAAACGGGACCCCCTTTTTTGGCCGTTGGTTTTCACTCATGAACAGGTAACAGCTCAGAAAGCGGACGTATGAACGAGTTCAGCGCAACGCGTTTGGTGCAGCATGCCAACCATGCTCCAATCGAGTTGCTCCAGTTGTGCCGCTGCTGGCAACGCAGCTCGTCCAAATCACCAACTAAACTAGTGGGCGGATCGCTTTTGGGGGCGGAGTGCTTTCGAAGTCCTGCTCAGCAACCAGCGCACCTTTCGTCGTGAAAGCGCCACACCTCGCTTCCCTGGCAGCCAAGTAACTGATTCGTGTGGTGCATATGCTTCCCCGATGCGCTCCCTCTTTATCGTAATCGCTGCCTTTAAGGATTCGTGGATGTGCAACTGTGGCATAGTGAAGTGACTATAGACATCACACTCAAGGTGGGATCGAAGGCTTAATGATCGATGAAAAACGAAGGATTCGTACGCGAATCCTCGTCGAAATTGAGAACTTCTCCACACTGCAAGCAAAACTCACACTATACCTAGACTATATCATTGGTGTGACGACTCACAGACCGTATCGCTGCCACCAACAGAGTACCGCCGTCGAGACAGACGACGCTATATAGCATTATAGCTGCCAAGTACGAACGAACGTTTGCCGACCTCACATCATTCGTGTCGCAATTCGACTAAAAATTAGTATAGGTTCAAAAGTATCATGACAAATTTTTCGAACATTTCCAGAATGTGCGTAATGGAGGTTAGTGTGATCTATCCCACATGCATATTACTAGTTTTAAATACCACCACTGCTCCGCTTCTGTTCTATGCTAACTACTGCTTTCATTCACGGAAACTGCTGGCAATAGCTTACGTAATGAGTAGAGCGGCTGAGGTACATAACCAAACCTCAAAGCAGTTCAACTCCTAGAAGATTCATCAGTCTTGAATATGTTTATTCAGTTTCTCTATTATCAAGCCATTTGTTGTAGCTCCGGGGTCTACTACAGTTAGGGGGGGGTATAATGATGCAGTTTCTCTACAAACTAGTGTGAACTCGAACATTCCAGGCTTTCACGCATCGTAAAGTGACTCGCCTCACCCTCCACCCTTCTAGACTGCCTGCACTCCCCCTGGCTCGGAAATCGCAGCTTTCTGGGAAACTGCATCATGATGCCACGCCTATAGTGCATAGAAAACGCTTTTCAATATTCCGGTTCATTGTTAATTCACAGTGACAATGTCATAGATATACATTGGTACGTAGGAAGTAATTCCATAATAACAAACGCTTGACGGCACAACAGAATACACAATCTATGAACATGGTCCGCTAGTAGATCCTGACTACTGGAATTCTGTCACTGCGCGCACCACGGTAGGATAACCCATTTTTGCGTATCATACTACGACTCCGTGAGCGTTATGTTGTCATACACGCTGTCTCAAAGCAGTTTCCTGACTCAGCTCAGGCGAACTTTTTCACTTGTGAAACCTGTTATTTTATTTGTTTGTTTTGTGCGGGTAATATATCCATATCTGGGTTCACAGTTTTATTCAATTCGTGAATCTTCTTCAGCTCAGTCCTTCAATGCAATCTCATCAGAGTTGCTCATTGATCTCTTCTTGGATGTTTGTTGTTTATTTTCTACATAATCAAGCCATTGTGATTTCTTTTCCTTGTCAAATTCAGATTTTTTTTACTAAACTAGTCTCTTTATTGATTGACGGTATATTCACTACCTCACCATAGTGTTATTGACTATACAATTGCAACCAATAAAGCTATTATTTGCAAATTTTGCAGGCCAATAAAAAACATTTTTAAATCTTCTGGCTAGTTCCATAGTACACTTCAAGAACTTATAGCCAGTAGGCGCCATACACTCCTCTTTCACTAGGATTGAAGAAGGCTTCCGATTCTTGCTACGTAGGGCTTTGTATTGACCTTGGCACAGGACAGCTGTTACTTTCTTTATTCAATGATTCAGGCCCTGGAAAGCGATCCCACCGAAGCTTTGGCCGATAAATCTTTCCCAATATCCTTGTGAAAATTAAGAAGAAAGTAACAGCTCTTCAAATTGTGTTCAACCAGGTCGGAGACTGACCTATCATCCCACTGTAGATACTTTGTCTATTAGAGCTTACAGAGTTATTTACAATTCAGTTGAGAGGTCATGCTAACAAAGAATCATGTCCATATCCCT